AAAAAAAAAAAAAGAAGAATTATTCCAACTAGATAAAAACTTAATATAATTTTAGTTTATAAGCATTTGTGTGGGAGGAGATGGGGAGAAACTCTAACAATCTCTCTCTTTTTTTTTTTTGAGACCGAGTTTCGCTCTGTTGCCCAGGCTAGAGTACAGTGGCGCGATCTTGGCTGACTGCAACCTCTGCCTCCCAGGTTCAAGCAATTCTTGTACCTTAGCCTCCCGAGTAGCTGGGATTACAGGCATGCCCCACCACACCTGGCTAATTTTTGTATTATTAGTAGAGACGGGGTTTTTCCAGATTGGTCAGGCTGGTCTCGAAGTCCTGACCTCAGGTAATCCACTCGCCTTGGCCTCCCAAAGTGATGGAATTACAGCCATGAGCCACCGTGCCCGGCCAAAACTCTACCTTATCTCTAAGGCTGAATTTTCATTCATGGTTTGTTATAAAAACTTTTTACTCAGGTGGCCTGTAATTCAGGATCATGACAGCTAGATAATTTGAGCAGTAGAGATAGGTGGGAATTTGGGGTCTCAAGTACTCTAAGTTGCTTTGTAAAATGGGGTGTTAAAACTGATTCCACTAAGTGTTTCTGAGTAACCAATCAATTCACTTCCTTGCTGCTGTTTGACATTCTCACAGTGACCATCTTTCCACCGTAGAAAAGGACACAAATGGAGAAGTTCTGTGGGTGTGGTGTTATCCTTCCACGACAGCCACATTGAGGAACCTGCTGCTGAGAAAATGCTGCCTTACAGATGAAAACAAACTTCTCCATCCCTTTGTCTTTGGTCAGTACAGAAGAACATGGTTTTATATCACAACAATTGAAGTTCCAGAGTCTTCCATTTTGAAAAAGGTATGATTGCATGAAGGTAAAAAAAAAACCCAAAATAGGCTGGGCACAGTGGCTCACCCCTGTAATCCCAGCACTTTGGGAGGCCGAGGTGAGCGGATCATGAGGTCAACAGATCGAGACCATCCTGGCCAACATGGTGAAACCCCGTCTCTACTAAAAATACAAAAATTAGCTGGGCGTTGTGGTACACGCCTGTAGTCCCAGCTACTCTGGAGACTTAGGCAGGAGAATCGCTTGAACCCAGGAGGCGGAGGTTGTAGTAAGCTGAGATCACGCCACTGCACTCCAGCCTGGTGACCGAGTGAGACTCCGTCTCAAAAAAAAAGGATAGAAAATATTAAATATTATTTTCATTGGGAATATTCTCTTTCACACTTCATTCTCATTCATTCTGTAAATATTTATTATTGTCTATTATATGACAGACCCTGTAGTTGATATAGTGGAGCAGTACAGCAATATGTGGTCTTTTCCCCTTTTTTTTTGTTTTTGTTTTTTTGAGATGGAGTTGTTCTCTGTTGGTTGGTCTGGAGTACAATGGCACAATCTCGGCTCACTGCAACGTCCGCCTCCCAGGTTCAAGCGATTCTCCTGCTTCAGCCTCCCGAGTAGCTGGGATTACAGGCACCCACCATCACGCCTGGCTAATTTTTTGTATTTTTAGTAGAGACAGGTTTTACCATGTTTGTCAGGCTAGTCTTGAACTGTTGACCTCAGATGATGTACCCGGCCAGGATAAATTCAGAATTTAAAAAGGCAAGCCGAGTGCGTTAGCTCACGCCAGTAATCCCAGCATTTTGGGAGGCTGAGGCGGGTGGATCACCTGAGGTTGTGAGTTCAAGACCAATCTGACCAACATGGAGAAACCCCATCTCTACTGAAAATACAAAAAATTAACCAGGTGTGGTGGCGCATGCCTGTAATCCCAGCTACACGGGAGGCCTGCGGCAGGAGAATCTCTTGAACCTGCGAGGCAGAGGTTGTGGTGAGCCGAGATTGCGCCATTGTACTTTAGCCTAGGCAACAAGAGTGAAACTCTGTCTCAAAAAAAAAAAAAAAAAAAAATTTAGAAAGGATGTTTAAGGCAGCTCAAGTATGAAGTAGACTTTTCTTGGTGTGTTGTTTGGTATGAACAGTATCAGTGTGACGTGGAAGACTAGGATGTGGTAATCGTGGACTTTCCTAATCCCAAGCAACCAGCAGGTTTTTTCACAGAATAGGACAGACATTTTTTCCTGTTTTAGGGCTAATGTATAGCCAATGGTGGGACTCTGTGAAACGTGACTAGAATACCAGCTTAAATTTAAGAAATTACATTTAAAATGGCAGGAAGGTAACAATTTAGAAACTGTAGAAGGCTTAAGACAAAGCAGATTCATAGTTACAAAATATAAAAAATACAAATTTGCAAGAAGATAGGTTGTGGTTTTTTTTTTTTGATGCGAGTTTTGCTCTTGTCGCCCAGGCTGGAGTGCAGCGGCATGATCTCGGCTCACGGCAACCTCTGCCTCCCAGGTTCAAGCCATTCTCCTGCCTCAGCCTCCTGAGTAGCTGGGATTACAGGCATGTGCCACCACGTCCAGCTAATTTTCTTTCTTTCTTTTTATCTTTTAACTTCAATTTTTAATTTTTATTTTTTGGGTCAGAGTCTCATTTTGTCACCCAGGCTGGAGTGCAGTGGTACAATCATGTCTCACTGCAGCCTTAATCTCCTGGGCCCAAGTGACCCTCCCACCTCCGCTCCCTGAGTAGCTGGGAGCACAGGCGTGCACCACCATGCCCTGCTAGTGTTAAAATTTTTTGTAGAGATGAGGTCTCACTCTGTTGCCCAGGCTGGTCTTGAACTCCTGGGTTCAAGTGTTCCTCCTGTCTTTTCTCCTAAAGTTCTGGAATTACAGGCGTGAGCCACTGCACCTGGCCAAAAAGATAGGTTTCAATATGTAATGAAATCTTTGGTTTATTGCTCAGTAAGTTCTTTTTATTTATTTTTTTCTTTTTTTGAGATGGAGTCTTGCTCTGTCACCCAGGTTGGAGTGCAGTGGTATGATCTCGGCTCACTGCAACCTCTGCCTCCCAGGATCAAGCGATTCTCATGCCTCAGCCTCCCAAGTAGCTGGGATTACAGGCTTGCGTCACTACCTACTCTTCATTTTAAATGTATCTCTTCAAAGTTTTGTATTTCTAAAATTCTGAATTTTGTCTCATTAGTGGAAATATTAGGTATAGGATTATCAGAAATTTATAATAATAGAGGCATATAAGTAAATGAAGCTTCTTTTCTTTTTTTGAGACAAAGTCTCACTCTGTTGCCCAGGCTGGAGTGCAGTGGCACGATCTCGGCTCACTGCAACCTCTGCCTCCTGGGCTCAAGCAATTCCCTGCCTCAGCCTCCCAAGTAGCTGAGACTACAGGCGCTCGCCACTACGCCCGGCTATTTGTATTCCTTAGTAGAGACGGAGTTTCACTGTGTTAGCCAGGATGGTCTCGATCTCCTGACCTCGTAGTCCGCCCGCCTCGGCCTCCTAAAGTGCTGGGATTACAGGCGTGAGCCACTGCGCCCAGACGGTCTTTTTCTTTTAATACTGTTATGTCTTAAAAAGTTTGTTAGAATATAGTAATAAAAATTCTGCTAAAGCGTCTTTAAAAAGTGTGTTTTTTTTTTTGTTTCTTTTGAACAGGTGACTCATTTTTCTATTGTTTTGACCACCAAAGATTTTAACCCAGAGAAGTATGCTGCCTTCACTAGGATATTGTGTAGGTCTGTATAAAAATTGTATTAAATGCTAATATATAAAATGAAGACCTTAATATAGTTAAATAGCAGATTTCTATACTGAGAAAGCAAAGTTCAGCCTTGTGTCTCCCCAACAAAATCTTTAGTAGCCCTTCACAGACTGTAAAGAGGGCATTTCTCTTTTGCTTTGTTGATACTTCTCTTATTTGGGTAAATGATCTAGGGGAAGAGAAGAAGCAGTTTGTGTAGCTATTGTAGCTCCTGGGTGTTCTGAGTCACTTCCTACTTTTGGTCTGTTACTTCTGTTCACTTCTAGTCTAGAATTCCCTTAGTAGGTTGGATAAGTTAAGTGCCTTATGACACGGTAAACTGGTTTGTATGTGTCAAGGTCAGTGTGTGTGCAGTCATTTTGGGGAAAGAATTATGCCGAAGCACAAGAACACATTTCTTAGCTGGAATGTTGAGAAGCTAGGGAATTCTGATTAATTGGTTAGTCGTGATTCAGCTAGACTGTTTTAGTTTCATCTCCATTGTTGAAAAATTTATCAAAAATGGCCTGGCATAGTGGCTCACAGCTGTAATCCTAGCACTTTGGGAGGCCGAGGTGGGCGGATCACGAGGTCAGGAGATCGAGACCATCCTGGCTAACACAGTGAAACCCTGTCTTTACTAAAAATACAAAAAATTAGCCAGACGTGGGGGCGGGCACCTGTAGTCCCAGCCACTCGGGAGGCTGAGGCAGGAGAATGGTGTGAACCCAGGAGGCAGAACTTGCAGTGAGCCAAGATCGCGCCACTGCACTCCAGCCTGGGTGACAGAGCGAGACTCCGTCTCAAAAAAAAAACCTCAATAAATGGTTGCCTTTTGGCTGTTTTTGTGCATCAATGTATATACACACACCAGAAAAAGCAAAAAAATAAAAAAGAGAAAATTTAAGACTATCTTCTCATTACCCAAGGGTTTCAGTTAGATTATATCTTGGCTAAATGAGATTTCACCATTTTTGCAGCCAGCCAGAATAAAAAAGCTTCCTACTCTCATAAATTCCAGGTGAATGTCTCACTCTGGATAAACAGCTGTCTGCTAATGTGGCACTTACACAAAGGAGATTATTATTGCCAGAAAAGACGCTATCCAGAAGCCATAAACTGAAACACTACAGAGGTATTTTTGAACAAACATTGGACCCCCATTTCATTTGGTTGCTCAACTGAATTCACTGGGAAATATTCTGGAGTCCAAAAGGCAAGGTTGCTTCAGACCCCACTTCCTGCCCAGAAGGAGGCCCAGATGGTTTCTCAGCTTCTGCGGTGCGTGGCATTGTAGTATCCCGGATTTCCTCTCCCGTCATGGTGCAAGAGAAGTGAGAACTCGGAGCTACTGCCAGCCGCCTCCTCTGCTTCCTGCCCTTTAATGCAGCACTATGCTCTCTCTTGCATGTATGCACGTCCATGTATTTGTACACACACACACACACAGGTCTGCGTGTACATGCACACACTCATAGGCAAAGACTTCTTTTCTTCATGAAAGAGGTTGATGGAGTTGTCTCCCTCCGTTTCTGGTGAGAGGAGCAGGCAGGCGTGCCTTCCACACACAGCTTGCTGCGCACAGCCGCAGCGGAAGCCCGCAGGAGGGAACCTCATTCCCTGTGTGGCTGCAGGTTCACTGCCGTGGTCCCCAGCCTCTAGTCGCTTGCAGCTAGTGGCCCTGCTAGAGAACCAGGGTTTCATGCACACTTGCAGTCAGCTGTCCGGGCCAGGTGTGGCAGCCTATGGATGTCTATCTGAACAAGGCCCTCTGGGTCACACTGTGGGCTTTTCCTGTGGAGTGCTTTTGGGGGGATTTTCCCCTCTGTTTTATCTCTCCTGGCCCAGGGTTGTCATGTAAGAAGTCATCTTATCCTACCAACCTTATGTTTCTCTTCTCTATTACTGTGTATTGTTTATATTTCACAATTTTTTTTTTTTTGACATGGTCTCACTCTGTCACCCAGGCTGGAATGTAATGGCGCCATCTCGGCTCACTACAACCTCCACCTCCTGGGTTTAAGCAATTCTTGTGCCTCAGCCTCCCAAGTAGCTGGAATTACAGGCACCCACCACCACGCCTGGCTAATTTTTATATTTTTAGTAGAGACAGGGTTTCACCATGTTCACCAGGCTTGTCTTGAGTTCCTGGCCTCAAGTGAGCCTCTTGCCTCAGCCTCCCGTAGTGCTGAGATTATAAGCATGAGCCACAGTGCTCGGCCTCTATTTTAGAAAGTTAATGGCATTTTGCTTTTTTTGTTGTTGGTGGTAATAAAGCACACTTAGAAATACAGGAGATTATACAGTGAAAACTAAGCTCCCTCCTCCTCCTGTTCCCAGACTCCAGTTCTACCTCCTGACCCCCACTCCACACAACTCCTGTGACCTCCTTTTTTATATCCTATCAGAGAAGTTTTTCTCCCCGTGTGAGCTTGTGTGTGAGTTCCTGGGTTTGAATGTATTTTACGTGTGTGAAAGCTCACCACATTCCTTGTTCTTTACCTTTTTCCCTCAAGTTATGAACTGAATTAGTAGTTGTTTTTTTTTTTTTTTTTTTTGAGATGGAGTTTTGCTCTTGTTGCCCAGGCTGGAGTGCAATGGCGTGATCTCAGCTCACCGCAACCTCCACCTCCCAGGTTCAAGTGATTCTCCTGCCTCAGCCTTCCCAAGTAGCTGGGATTATAGGCACGCGCCACCAAGCCCGGCTAATTTTGTATTTTTAGTACAGATGGGGTTTCTCCATGTGGGTCAGGCTGGTCTCGAACTCCTGGCCTCAAATGATCCGCCCGCCTCGGCCTCCCAAAGTGCTGTGATTACAGGTGTGAGTCACCGTGCCCAGCCCTCAAGTGATCTGTGTTAAATGTGTTTTATTTTCTTCCCGATTTTCTATCCCACCAGCTCCTAAAAGGCCCAAATAGACCCAGTCATGTTTCTCAAGCAAAATTTAGTTTTCGTTGCTCACAGGAAGAGATTTCAAGGGGAAGAGAGGGATTCCACATGTGAGCTATAAATGCATCCAGTTTCCTGTCAGCATTTTCTGGAAGCTTTAACTTGATGATGAATGTCTAATGTGCATTTATCACCAAAAACCTAAAGGAATGTTGATTTTTTTTTTTTTTTTTTTTTTTTTTTTTTTTTTTTTTTTTGAGACAGAGTCTCGCTCTGTCGCCCGGGCTGGAGTGCAGTGGCCGGATCTCAGCTCACTGCAACCTCTGCCTCCTGGGTTCACGCCATTCTCCTGCCTCAGCCTCCCAAGTAGCTGGGACTACAGGCGCCTGCCACCACGCCCAGCTAATTTTTTGTATTTTTAGTAGAGACAGCGTTTCACCGAAGTAACACTACTTTCTACATGAAAAGATTCAAGCATTCAGGCCAAGTGCGGTAACTCATGTCTGTAATCCCAGCACTTTAGGAGGCTGAGGTGGGTGGATCACCTGAGGTCAGGAGTTAGAGACCAGCCTGGCCAACATGGTGAGATCCCATCTCTACTAAAATTACAAAAATTAGTGGGGTATGGTGGCGCACACCTGTAATCCCAGCTACTCGGGAGACTGAGGCGGGAGAAACACTTGAAGCCAGGAGGTGGAGGTTTCAGTGAGCTAAGGTTGTGCCACTGCACTCTAGCCTGGGTGACAGAGTGAGACTCTGTCTCAAAAAAAAAGAAGAGTGAAGCATTCAGAAGGGCATAGCAAGGTGGCTTCGGATTCTTGAGAAAGCACCCAGACCAGCCTGGGTGCATATCTCCACATGATTTATGCCAAATGGAAGCATAGTTGCTTTGTTGTCCTTTCTTACAGAATGTACCTGAAACATGGGAGCCCAGTTAAAATGATGGAGAGTTATATTGCAGTTCTCACAAAGGGGATATGCCAGAGTGAAGAAAATGGCTCTTTCCTTAGTAAGGATTTTGATGTCCGAAAGGCCTACCTGGCTGGCTCCATCAAAGGTAAGAAGGGAAAAAACGAAACCCATCCAACGACAAAATCCCCAAGCCAAGAACAGTCTCATTAGATCCTATTGTTCCTACTAGAGTAATCAGATAATTAGATTATCTCATTAGAATTATCTAATGACTAGATAATTCTAATCCTTCCATACGTTATTTTCATTTACATAATATTTTTCATATCATTTGTACACAAGAGGGTAACTTTAACCCCTGTATTTCCTTATTGAGTTAGAATTCTCTCACAGGAAAACAGGTTTTTGTGGTGTTTGTTTCCATATTATTCTATTGGCTATTTTAGAAATGTTTTCTCACTGGTAAGCTCAATTTTGTGGCTCGAGGTCTTCATGGATTACATTTCTTTTCTTAGATCTTAGCAGTTATCTCTGTCATCTGAAGAGCCCAAGTCCTTGACCCCAAGCTCCTAATTTAAGTTCCAGCTGGAAAATCCAAAATGCAGACAGCCCAGGCCTAAGCCACAGACTTCAGTGTCCCTGAGCAGGAGGCGAGGGGATCTCTGAAGGCGAGGCTGCTCTCTGTCATGTCCCCCTACAGTGCCCATCTGTCTTTTCTTTTGATCCCGCTGTTCTTTGAGTTTTCTCAGCATCCCTGTTGAGGTGTTAGCTGTTTGTCAGGCTAACTTAAGGACTTAAGTAATGATACTGGGGGACATGATGGAGTTAGTGGACTTACTTTTTTTCCTTTTGAGACAAGGTCTTGCTTTGTCACTGAGGCTGAAGTGCAGTGGTGGTACAATGACAGCTCACTGTAACCTCAACTTCCTGGGCTCAAGCAGTCCTTCCACCTCAGCCTCCCGAGTAGCCCTGCCCAGCTAATTTTTTTTTTTTTTGAGACAGAATCTCACTGTGTCACCCAGGCTGGAGTGTAGTGGCATGATCTCAGCTCACCGCAACCTCTGCCTTCCAGGTTCAAGTGATTCTCGTGCCTCAGCCTCCCAGGTAGCTGGGACTACAGGCAGCTGCCACCACACCCAACTATTTTTTTTTTTTATTTTTAGTAGAGACGGGGTTTCACCATGTTGGCCAGGCTGGTCTCGAACTCCTGGCCTCAAATGATCCGCCCGCCTCGGCCTCCCAAAGTGCTGTGATTACAGGTGTGAGTCACCGTGCCCAGCCCTC